GTCCGTTTGGGTTTCAGAAAACCCGATGGACTTTGGTTTAGGCTATCTTAAGGAGTCATTATGTGGACAACATAACTGACTCAGCTAGGGTTGACCATGATGCATGAACAATTTCAAGGGAATATGGTTTCTACTTTTTGAAGTGCTAGACAAGGTACCCTTGAGCGGNACAAACAAGCTTATGAGTTGAAGAAATAGAGTGTTTAGAAAATTAGTCTTAAAAGAAAACTAAAAAAATTACACAAGTAAAGGGAAAGGGGGTCCTAGGTTTATTGATAATATGGATCACATCAATGCAATATCCAGCAATCACTCCTCAAAAGAGGGGTCGCACGTGATATTCGCGCACCGGTCATCATTTCCATATTCTACCCTTCCCACCCCGTTAAGGTGTTAAAGCTCGTTTAGTCTCGTTTACTTATTGCATGCTAATACCCGTCCCGTCCTATCAGTCCCAGGGTATTAGGACTTCTAATCCTAAGAGGGAAGAAAGGGATGGGGCCTTTATGGAGTTTAAAGGATAAAATTCTAGTTTCGACATTCAAATATCAAATAAAGGGATGATTAAACAAGCAAACAAGGCTCAAATAAACCCCTTAAATCAGACAACACTTAGTTTAGCATGTCTTAGCATATACTGATTTGGTCTTAAGTTAAAAATTAAGCGGCGAGCGGACTGGTTCAACACATATATTTTGATAGAAAGTCTGCATTAGGCAACTCAGATACAATTGTCAGAGATTAAGGCACTTAATTAACACGAGTGATATTACTAATTCTTTTGAAAATAGACAGAAAAGTTTTGAAGAAAAGGCAAGTCGCAGACTTAACAAAACGACGTAGAATAGTTCCTAGAAGACAGACCATTGAATTGCATATTAGTAAAGAAAGAGCAATTTTAAACAAGTTTCAAAAGAGGCAGATTGTTTAAGGAGAAAACGAGTTCGAATTGCAGAACTTATTAAAAAATGATAAAATACAGAAAAGTGATATGTAACTGAGTTGGAAATCGTTCATCAAACTACCAGAAAAGGCAGTAAGTTTCAGAAAGCATGCAAGTTTACCAGAAAATTAGGTTTTAGAAAGAGTTGCACTAATCTAATAAGAGGCTCAGTGGTTCGGAGAACCACTGGTTTTTGTTTGTTAGTCAATGAAATCGTTACTGCTTTTAGACGAGTGAGGCAAGTTTGATTTTAAAAACTTCCTATAGACATGATCTCTACGAGTCATTTGTTTTAAACCATGTTAACAAACTTGTAAATAGATGCTGATTTGATTAACCCTAAAAATTTGCCTAATATCGTGAACATGCACATTCCTATAGGCATGATATCTATATGCAAGATTGCAGAAAGTTAAATATTGTCTCCTATAGGCATGATTTCTATGTGATTGGATCAGAAACATTAAAAAAGAATTAAAACCCTAAAGCATGGTTTCTACCCTTTGATGTAGGAAAGTAAAATCCCTCCCACACCCTTTTACTAGATTCCCCGAGTTTGTAAAAGTTATAACAGACCAAAAGAAAAGATAAGAATAAATCAAAGACCAACAACTGCATCCGAGGAACCTAATTCAATCTTAATTTCTAATAATATGTGATTAACCAATTCCGAATCTAGATTTCCAAAGCCTTCTCTTATCCAAAGTGTTTCAGAGTTCCAAGGAATCTCAAGGATTCTCGGCATTGCTTACACCCAGGATACCATTAAAAGAATAGTGCAGTGTGGAAGAGCCAGCCCTCAGGCATCCAAGTTCAGTGGGAACTCAAGGGTCCCAAANGGATAGTAATTAGGACACTGCCAGACCAAGGTCTTAGGCTCAAAGCACACAGAAGGGGGAAGGGGAAGTGGGAATTGGTTTGAGTTAAGGGGTTCAAAGAACCCAGTTCAAAGTCATGGGCAGCAATAATAGAGTGATGTCATGGTTAGAACTATACTCTCATACAAAGAGGAAAAAGGAGAGGGAATTCACATAAGAAAAGTAGCCACAAAGTTGCAGAAACATAGTAAAGAAGAACATAACAGACTAAGAAGTAAACACATAGTGGAGGAGCATTATTTAAATTAAGAGTGACATACCAGTTGTAAAGTAAATAAACAGCAGAATAACAGAGTAAGCAGACAGCCAGAAACCAGTAGGAGTAGACTTAAGTATTCAGCAAAAACACTTGAGAGTTCAAAAGGAACTCAAGAATGTTTCAGGCAGTAAAAGAGAAGAAGAGCAAAGTGTTCAGTATTAGAAGTAGAGAAAACAATAGTAGAGAAAGTATTGAACTTGCGTCGTGTTCCCTGAAGTCTGAAGTGTGTGTCCCTTTTTATAGTGCAAAAACGAGTAAACAAAAAGGCAAGGAAATAAACGTTTTGCCAATCAAACAGAATCTCCCTTAGTCAAAGGGATTTGATTTCAAACGGGAATGAGTAATTAAGGAAACGAAAATAATGAAAACCTTTCAGAGTAGCATAATAAAGGGTAGGTTCATACAGAGTCTATTTAAGGTAAGAAACTATAGTACACGGTTTTGAAAGAATAAGGAAACAAATTAATCAAACAGCCGGAAAGTTTTAAAAGCTTTGAATGAACTTAGTCAGAAAAATAGGGAAAAAGCTAAGTTGTAAAAAATCAGTAGCAAATCAATCGAGCCTCAGTAAAAGGAGATTGAAATCAATCACAAGCTAATAGTATCAATTCAAAAAGAACAAAACCCTCGTATATAAGCATGCTAGTATCAAGCAGGAAAGAAAGATTGGCATAAACAGTTTTAGAATCATAAGCAAAAAGGAAAGCAAGTTTCAGTTCAGTCTATGAACTTAGCACAAATTTGAGAGCCTAGGGTTTCTAGAGTAGAACCCTAGAACCAAAAGCTCGCAAAATCCCCAAATAGGGTTTCAGTCCGAGTAGGACACACAAAAAGAAAAGGCAAACTCAACAAGCCTGGGGAACTCTTTCAGAATTCCCTGAGGAAATACATAGACATACGTAGCAATCGAAAGCAGTAGAGTGCAAACTAAAACTCAACCAGTTCAGAAGAGAGAAGAGATGCCATAGAAGTTTAGGAAGTAGTAAGAGAAGCAAGTTCAGTAACCCAAATAAATCCAGTAAGAGTAAACACTTTCAGTAGCAGAAATAGTAAAGGGACAGGCAAGATAGGCGTATAAACATGCTTATAGAAAAATCAGTAGAAGCAGTAATAGAACAAAGGCAGAGAGACATGCATATTAACAGCAAATCATAAGAAACAAACGAAAACCCCTAAAGCATGGCATGAACACACAGATTCACATAAAGAAAGAAGAAGAAGAAGAATCGTTTTGGAATTTTTTGAAAACCCTAATTTGAACAGACTAATTTTAAAAAGGGAAAATTAGGGGAAATCGTTAAAACATCGAATAGAGCATAGATCTGCTACAGATCTAAGAAAATAAGGAAAGAAAAACCTCGAATCAAGCTTTTTAGGGTTTCTCGGAAACCCTAGAGACGAGAAGGCCTGGAATGGTTTGGTCTCTGAACGAATCTGGGCCATGGCTAAGCCTTCAGAGCTTGAACACGGCGGAACGGAGCCGGAGGAGCCACAAGAACTCAGGTCGGCGGAGGACCTGAACAGGTCTGTGGAAGATTGATCCTTGAAAGCCTCGAATAATCATGGCTTGGGGTGAAAGGGGAGAGAATATAGGCTGTCCATGGCCTGGGAAGCCATGGACGCCGGTGGGTTTGGTCGGAGACGATGATAGACGGCTAGGGTTTCGAGTGGCCTAGAGAGCATTTGAGAGAAGAAGGGATTTGGGGCGGTTACTTTGGAGAAATGATTAGGGTTAGGGGCTGGGGCGAAATTAAAAAAGGAAAGAAAGAACGAGGGTCGTTGATTAAAACAATCAACGGCCAGGATTTAAAGATGGGAAGTGGGCGGGTTAGATTAATTGGGTTTGGGTCAGGTAAAAATTGGGTCGTCTAATTGGGCTGAGTTGCGGTCAAAATTGAGGTTCAGTTGTGGCTAAAATTGAAATGGAAATGGGCCAGCTTTTAAATAGCCATTTTTCCTCTTTTTAATTAATTAAAATAGTTAAAAATAATTTTAAAACAAATTGAAAGCGCAGCACTAATTGATAATATATAAAAATTAATCTAAAAATATCTGGAACAATTTTATAATTATAAAACGCAGTTAATTATAAAAATAGGCCATAATTGCAATTTCATGCAATTAAGCTTTAGAAATTTTGAATAAATTTGTAAAAATATGCAAAAATCATATTAATTATATTTTGGTGTAAATATGAGAATGAAATAAGTTATTCATCAAAAATGATAATTTTGGGAATGATTTTGGATTTTTGTGGTATTAAAATAGGCAGTAAATTGGTTTAAAAATCACAAAAAATACCAAAACTCTTGGGTGTGCTTATATATGCACATATATGCTATTTTAAAAATATTTTGGGTATAAAATACATAGGGAAAAATTGGGTATCAACAGTATACATGGAGTTTTTGCCAAAGTTTTCGGGTGACAGTGACCCCTCAAACCTATAGTGTGCATTCGCCTCTAGCTACTTCCACTGAAATGAATATAAATGATCAAAAATTACATGTCACTTTGAGTTTTGACATAATGACATCACTAACGGGAGGCCTCTTTGTGTCATAAAATTTGGAAACAATCCTAGTAATTCTCTGAAAGTAGGAAGAATTAAATGAATTATACTTAATTGGCCCGTTGAATACGTCGTTCTGGTTTTCCATCTCCTTTCTCACGTCAACATAATATGCAACGATTCTTCTTTCGCGGGTTTTTCATGAAGATAGACTTATTGACTTCTAAATTATTTATATCATCTTCGTAATAAAAACGGATTCACAACTTAAAGTCAATGAATTCTAACAAAAGATTAATCACTTCATTGTCCTCCTATTCTTCAAAACGTGTTATTTACGACTTGCTAGATAGGGGCGAGTCGCAACTATAAATACCCAAAAAATACAATTTTCTCCTCAGTACAATTTCCCAAGAATTTCAAAAATTACAACCCCTGTTTACGATTTCGTATTTAATCTTAAAGCAATTTTCCCTTCTAAACACAGAGAATGAAGGTATATATGTCTATATTTCTTTTAATCATTCGAATTAGTAAGAGTTAACTGAACAAAAGTACTTGGCATAGTGGCAATACTTCTTTCATTGTGCTCATTGTTTAGCTAACCTTGAATTATTTCATATACTAATGTATATATGCTCTTAAAAACTGGACAGCAAAAGGTTGTTATTAGGTTATCCATGAATGGAAATGATCAGAAATCGCGGTCCAAGGCCTTCAAAATTGCCGTTTCTCAGCCAGGTACAAGTCCCATTTCAACTTTCCGGACGTTTAATGTTCTTCTGAAATGTATATCAAACTTTACATATACGGTCTTCGGTCTACTTTAATTAATTTTTTGGTTTTTTCTTGTTATCTACAATATTTGATTTTCTCAGATATCAGGAAAGAATTAATTTTTTTTCCCAAAGTTGCAATTGGAATAAAGAGCCTAGATTTTCAATGAACAAATTAAGGTTAATAACTTAATATGGTCATTGTTATTGCCAATTAATCCTAAAAATTAAATTTCTTAATACATTGTGAAAACGGCCAAAAAGTCAATTAAAGGGGACGGGAGGGCGTACGATTTTTTATTTTTATAATACTTGACCATAAAACACTAGGTTTCTCCGAATCCATGAACTCATTATCCAATCCGTCAATGATATTTTGAACTCATATATCGATTTTTGGGATCATTACATAAATAGCAGGCCGGATTCACTATTTACCTTTTATAGACGATATACATAGCTTATAAAATGATTATACACATTTTTATACATATTATATATGAATTATACTTAAATTATATATCCGCCAGCTATTTTTAGTATAAGCCGTTGGGTGGACTGCTATCTAATCAATTCTTTTCTATTTATATTTTACTAATTTGATTTTTCTATGTGATGTAGGTGTAGAATCAGCAGCTATACAAGGGGGAGAAAAGAATCAGTTAGAAGTGGAGGGAGAGCAGATTGATGCAGTGACCCTAACCAAATTGCTTAGAAAGAAATTGAAGCAAGCAGAGCTGTTGAGTGTTGGCCCTGTTGAGAAGAAAGATGGTGACAAAAAAGAGGGTCCAAAAATGGAAGTTGCCATGACACAGTGGCCATCCTATAACTACCCTTATTACGTTGTTCCTCAATTTTCAGTTTATGAAGTTAGAGATTCATATCAACCATGCTGCTCCATTATGTGAATCAATAGCGTATATAGGATTTTACGTAAGTAGTGTCAGCTTGTTGTTGTAAATCAATTAGTACTATAATCAATTAGTACTGCTATATAGATTTGGGGTTGAGGCTATGAGGTTGTAAACAACCTTTACTTTTTTTTAAAAAAAATCCTAAATCAATTTTTAGTTTACATTTTCTTTAACCAGTGTCAGTCTAGTGTGGTTGTATTTGTTCTTAGAAAATATTAGATATAATAGGAGAAAGGTGATACTTAATTCGAACTTGTGAAACTGCAGTTAAAACTGTATCCTCTCAAGGCTACCTACATAATTTGTTTCTAATAAACAGTAAGGGCCCGTTTGGCCATAAAATATTTTTATGTTTTTTCCGGAATCAGTGTTTGACTATGAAATTTTTTATGGACAAATCTTTTTTAAATTTTATTTTATGGACAACCAAAAACAACTTGCAGTTGTGTTGATATTGATCTGGTAACATAGAAAATCAATTAAATTTCAGAATGTATTGACAGTGTAGAAAGTATTTTGTAAGGTCAATATAGATAAGTTAAATCCTTATAATAATTACAATAAAATAGCAAAGCCATTATTAATGCAAAAGAAAAAGGAAACTTGAACAAACCTATTTTTTGGTGTAGTAATGAAAGGAGATTATGAGCATGAAAGAAGTGCAAGCTTCTCCCCATCATTACCAAGTCCAATTTGGTTTGATGGGTCTGCCTGTCTCCTTGGGGCCAACTAGGAATAGTGTCAAACATTTTGACAATGCTGTTCTTAGTTGGCATCCAGGGAGCCAGGCAGAACAAATTCATTTCTTGGATTTGATATATATGCTCATGAGCTGCTCATCACCAATATTACTATATTTATTCTGCAAAGTCACACCAAAAAGATGTAAGTTTAGCAAGTGTTACAATTAAAAAAGAGAAAGAGAATAAGTAATGCTGCCTCTGGTCCATGTTATCTGTCTTTTAAGGTTTCAGTACACTTCTTAAGAACAATAGTTGATAGTAATTGTATACCATTTATCTCTCTTAAACATCTCACGTTATTAACACTTCACTAATTTGAGCAGTAAGAGTGAGTTTGAGAAAAACAATAATAAATATTTTTTGCTTCTTTAAAACGTCAATTATTTTAGAACAAATTTAATTTTCCAAATAATATGGACCAAATAGTCACGAAATAAAGGGACACTTGGCTTTACCTTATTTTGTAGCTCTTCCTCTTACGTACTTTACTTCACTCGTTATCAATAGGCTCGAATATCTTGATAAGTGAGCGAGAGAAAGAATACACTAAGAAGTAATTCAGTGAATGCTTTCTAAGAAGGAATTGGCAAAATATGTAAAGGTCTAAAGAGAAGGCAAGACAACACAAAATCCAATCATAAGTGTCGAAGACAAGCCACTTTAGACAGCAGACGGCAGATATGATTACAAAACTCATAAGTATAATCAATATAATTTAATGGATTGATGGTGATGAAACCAAACAAGTTTTGTGTTGTTTTGTGGGGTTTCTAAGAGATTTGGTTTTTGCTTTTGATTTGAAAGATTTATCTCACTACTCCCATCATGATTATCTTCAACAAAATTATATTAGTTCAATTTATAAATATAGTAGAAGAATTAACCTAAATAGTTATCCACCCAGTCGCTTAAACTAAAATTAGACTCAGGAGATATAATATATGTATATTTCATGTATAATATATGTATAATTGTATATAATTAGTGTATAATCCATAAATATATGGTGAAACTAGTTTATCATTTGGTGCCATTGCTTATTGAATGGGACGAGTCTATTGAATGAGGAGTTGAGCATGACTTTGACAAGGCCAAAGCCACTGCATGGGACAAATCCAGCTTTCATTAGGGCGTTCGACGGATAATTTCATGTGCATTAATCATTTATTAATTAACACCGGGCACTTTAGCTACTGTAGTTTTGTAACATCTTTTTTATATTGTGATCATTTAAAAAGTTACTAGCAATTCATCTATCCTATGTTATGTGATGCTATGATGATCTGATAGGTCATTTACAGTTCCAACCTTCATTTATGTGATACGAGACCTCAAATAGCTATGTTTAGCCTTTCTCGATTTGCGTGCGCAATTTATGTCCATTTTTCAAAAAACAATTATGAGAAAATTAATGAAAATGTGAAATCATGCCTTAAAACTCAATTGAGTTGACTACGGTCAACGTTTTGTATAAACGAACTCGGATCAGTGTTTTGCCGGTCGCAGTGGGTTCGTATCATGATTTGAGACTTAGGTGTATGTCCGGAATCGATTTCGGAAGTCCCTAACTTGATTTAACGTAATTTTTTAAAAACTAGTAATTTGAAGGCTAAAAGAATTTCTACATTTGACCGTAAGTTGACTTTGTTTTATCGGGTTTGGATTTTGGTTACAGAACTTGGTAAGGTTCATTTTAGTATTTATGACTTGTTTATAAAATTTGGTACAAAACGGAGTTGATTTGACGTAATTCGGACATCCGGTTGTAAAATTTCATGTTCTTAAGTTTCCTTGAAAATTTTATTCATTTTGGTGTCCGATTCGTGGTTCTAGGTGTTATTTTGATATTTTGATCATGCAAGCAAGTTTTTATGATGTTATTACACTTGTGTGCATGTTTCGTTTGGAGCCCGAGGGGCTCGGGTGAGTTTCAGATAGGCTACGGGTGATTTTGGGACTTAGGCCATTGCTGGTTTTCCACAGTTGTTGTCACCTGGTGCTTTGTGCTTCGCGATCGCGAAGCCACTCTCACGATCGCGTAGGGGAAATTGGGGTTAGGGTGGTTTTCTTCTTTTCAAACGCGATACCTGGGTTGTGAACACGGAGCGTTAGGGGATTTACCCTTCGCGAATGCGACCAGCCTCTCGCGAACGCGTAGGGTTATGGGCTTGGGAAAGGGGCATCGCTGTTACTCTACGTGAACGCGAGCCCTGGCTCGTGAACGCGAAGGCTTGAGGGAAAAGCCTTCGCGAACACGTGAGGAACCTCGCGAATGCGTAGGCCATTCTGGCTGACGTGCTTCACGAACGCGTCAGGCCTTCGCAAACGCGAACAAAGCCTGATGCCCAATCAATTAAATATCCCAAACACGGAATTTCACTCATTTTTCACCCTCTTCTCATTAGAGCTCGTCCTAGAGGCGATTTGGAAGAGAAAATTTATCACCATTTCATAGGTTAGTATACTTTAACTCGTTTTCTTCCATTTCCATCAACACCCATTAATTTCTAACCTTAATCTATGCTCTTTCATTGTAGAAAATTAGGGATTTGGGAAAAATTGGGAGTTTTTTTAAAATTGAGATTTAAACCTCAAATTGAGGTCGGATTTCGACACTAATTACATTATCGGGCTCAGGAATGAATGAATAATTAGATTTTGGTCTGAATCTCGGGTTTTGACCAAGCGGGCCCGAGGTTGACTTTTGTTGAGTTTTTGAAAAAAGTGTAAAGATCTTAACTTTATGTATTGTGTAAGCACGTGATTTTTGCCCAATATGAGAATTACTCCCAAAAAATTCAAAAATAAAATGATTTTTCTTTGGTGTGCAATTTTGTGATATTTTGTGATATTTTGAAGAATTATTTGTATTTGTCTATGCGTGTTTATTCGCTAAATTAATAAAAAATACAAAAATATGTCGCATTTTTGCATGTAGGATTTAATTCTACAATTATTAGTAATTAAAATTGTTTTACAAAAATTAAAAATTACAAAATAGGCATCGTTTGCATTTTTAGCATTTAATGTCCAAATATACAATTTTATGCTTAATTATTACTTAATTGTGCGTTAATTGTTATTGGGAGTTAATTTGCGCCTTTATAACTTAATTTAGTTCTTAATAATAGTTTAANGAAGCATGAATACGAAAAAATGAAGAGTTGAAATTTTGAATTATATTTAATTATATTCTGAATTTTATTTCTATGTATAAATTATGTAGTTTGCAAAAAATCAGAATTATGTAGATATTTAATACGTATAGTGGAACATTCGACGATAGCTTAACAAATGAACTATCTACATCTATTGCCTAAAAATAAATAAATGGTGTAGTAATTCCGT